TTTAGTGATATTATTATATTAAATATTGTTTGAAATATTATATTAAAAAGTATATTATTATTTTTTATCATTATTAAATTTAAAATTTAAAATTTAAAAAATTATATTTAATATTACACCTATCTAGCTGTGATTCGAACTTGGGCCGCATAATTTAATAACGAAAAACTTACCATTTGATCACATGCACGTAACAGTTAGGATATTAATAAAATTTATATTTATAAAAAATGCTAATCGGTTTGACAATTTTCTTGGAAAATATCAAAATATTTATTTAGTGAACCGCATGCTATCAAATTATAAAAATATAATAATTAGGATTCACACCATTTAATAAATAATCGTTACTGTTTGGAACTAGGTTAGTTATGTGACAATACCAATTTGGTGACACCTCACACTTCGTTGATTATTTTTTGTAGAGTCGAGTCACACTCACTTGTTATCTAGGATAATTTAAAATATAGGGTCCCCCTCATTTATAATTATAGCTGACACCCTATATTAGTCAGCCTATTACCCTTTGGTGATTTCTAGCATGTTATACCCTTCGCGATTCTACATGTAGTTTAGGACTGATATCTTAGGGTAGACATCCTAGACATAATTTCACTAAACATACACTTAGGCACTATTTTTCATCTAGTCAGTCTAGACCATATCTTGTTCCTCCTTAGAAATGATGCATTTTATCTTTTCACATACAACTAGTTGAATCGATTGGCATTCCTAACCCAAGTAGGATGTAAGGCAAGGCTACTATTTTCTCTATCACATTGAAAATATAGTTTGGGCCTTCTTGGTTACATGAGATCAAGATGTCTTCTCTACCATATTGAGAAGATTCCTGTGGTTACTTGATAGTATAACTATCAAGCTGTAAGTCTCATAATTTTGCATCATTTCACATCACCTCAGCCATTTCTACAACATTGAGGGGACTCCTAAGGTTTATGTTACTCCTTTGATGTCTTCTCTAGCATATTGAGTTGACATATGGGCTTTCTTGGTTGCTACCTAAGTAAGTTGCAAGTCTCATTTTGACATCTCCTCTACCACATTGAAGAGACATCCGAGCTTGTTCAATCACACAAATTGAGCTATAAGTCCCATACTTTGGATGCCTCCTCTGCCAAACTGAGGAGAATGAAGATTCCACTCATTTTGATATTTTCTCTAGCACATTGAGATATCTGTATCTGTCTCATCTCTTCTACAACAATGAAGGGATTTTTCAAAATATTTGGACATTCTAGGTCACACATGGTTGAGTTATAAGCCTCATTTTGGGTGTTTTCTCCGCCATATGGATACAATACATTCTTTCCTTCCCATGATACCCTAAAGCCTAGTTAGCCTTATCAGCCTCGGCAGGTACGACCGCGCGGTAGTATAAGTCCAGTATGGGTTATTACCTTATACAACAGTGGAGTGTAATTCCAGTCTGCTAGCCTAGTCCACACCCTTGGTCTATGAGGTAGCCTTGGATGAGGTCCTATGGATGTTGGCAGGGATTCTCTAGTCATCATTTGACTAAGTAGACTAAGTAAACCGATGAATTCGGGACAACAAAACCATGAGATCTTGACCGTGGATATACCTACCTAGTAGGTTAGTTCTCATTTCCTAATAGTTCAATAATTTTGGCTTTCACCTCATTAAACATCAATATCTTCTATTCAATTTGAGCATGAGCATTAATTCTATAATCAAGAGGGTTCTTGGGCTCACTGGGGATGTAATTAACCTTAGGAGGTTGCTTTTTTGAGAAACCTCAACCCCTAAAATTAAAATAAATGAATATTACTGTCTCCTTCAACTCATCTTATTCTCCCAATCTTGAGCCCTGAATCTTCATTGAATGGTGCAAGATGTACTTAAAATGCTAGTACAAACAAAAACAAATATGCACTACAAATACTAGGAGAAATAAAGAGGTAATCAATAATATTTATTATCATAAAAAACATAAACTCGGGAGTCCAAGTTGTATCATTTTGGCCTAGTTTGTTTGTTTCGTGTTATAAGTATTAAGATTGGCTATTTTATTCCCTTCTTTAATTATTCTTGTGAAATAGCAGTACGACTATTATTAAGCTTTCCCATTTGGCTATTTAGTATGGAGAAAGCCTTGTGATGCTTGTGTTTCTAGCATGTCTAGTGAGCAAATTGGTTACTTGAACAATAGCATTAAATTTTCCCCATTTTATTAAATTTCTCTGCATATCTTCTTTTTTTTTTATCCAGCACATTGTTGAATAAATGCTGATTCCATTAATGAGATCTCAATAAACTATTTTCTTTTATTTTCCTAAGTTCATTAGCTCAATGTTATTTTTTTTACATATTTCTTTGGACGTGATTGCTCATATGCACATAGGAACTCTTACCCTTTTGCTCTAGTATTAGTTTCTCATTTGATCTATTCATTAATTATGAAATAATATTGAGTAATGGCATTATCATTGCTGTTTCACATTTAAGTCTACACTTTCACGTGATGTTTATGTCATTTTAGTTTTTATTCTAACTATTCTTGTTCCATTTTTATATATTTTACTTATCGACTCTTCAACTCCATTTTTTTTTTTCTGGTGGGCAAATCTTGTTAAGTCCTTATTTTGGGGCACTATAGGCGCATTTTTTTTAAGACCTCTTCTTAGGAACCTTTGATTTTCTTAAATCTCTCTCTCTAATTTAGAGATTTTTAAAAGGTTATACTCTTCAGGCAATAACATGTGTTGACAACCTTTTGGATTGTCAACTAAAATTGAGCGCTTAAGAAAAGTAATGGCTTTATTTATTAGATTCTAGATTAACTTCTAATTGCATATATAATTCTAAAACAAATTCATTTGATCTTATTGTTCATCATATATGCATTGGTTTACACTTATGAAACAAGGAATTTTAGAAGGACCAATAAATTGAAAGGTATGTCGTCCATGATATAGGACATTATTAAAAACTACATATGTTAATTTGCATTCAATTCTTTCTATCTTTTTTTATCAGGTCTAATAATGCAACTAGTGGGTCCTATGATATATATTATCCAATATAAACTTATAATTTAAATTAGTGATCATTCTATGTAGATTATATCCAGATTCAACAAGATTTTTGAAAGTCAGTCATATAA